AGTTCATATGGTCACTTCCCTTGTATTTAATTACTTTCCTCTTCTGACACATTAAAATTATAATTCTGTGGTGACTTTTGTAGGGGCTTTTGAAGGCTTTGTGGTATGCTTATAGCCCTGGATCTCATGTTATTACGAACTCCTAGTTTATTGTACTAGGTCAGTTACTCTTGGATGCATTGCAATGGAACTTGCAAAGGCTTTATGTTAAATGATCAGTCATGGTGTCAGAATATAAACCTTTCAATCAATCATTTAGAAAGAAATTCATACTCTATGAGAAGTCTTGCTCAATTAAATTAATTTTATCTTTGTACTGATGTAGCTGAAAGACTTTGAATTTAAGGTGATCACCCAAGTAAAAAAGAGTAGAGAGAAATATATGTTCTCTCTCACACAGAGAGACAAAAGTCCTACACAGTGCTCACCTTCTGCAGTTTCTTAATTTAAGGTTGTCAACTTCAATTGAAATCATTCTGGAGATTTTTCCCTCTCCAATAAATATGTATATACAACACATGTAAAATAAGGTACCTCCATTAATTGATGCACCAACTGCATGTTGCAGCTAACCCACAAATGCAACATACTTAAACATCCTTACAGAAGAAAAAGCTGCAGTGGGAAGGACAGAGAAAAAAAAGGAACAACCAATATGGAGAGGAAGAAAAGGGAAGAGGTAACCACAGAGAGAAGGATAGCAAGGAGATGCCTCTTTTTAGGCATTACTAAGAGGGCTAAATTTACGAGGCTAGTAGGCCGTCATAACCAACAGCTAGTTATTTCAGTGAATATAATATTCAATTAACAAGTAGTGACTTGGGGAAAAAGTCCTTCCCCTCACTATTTGGTAAATACAACATTAAGCAATTGTAGCACTTGCCTGTTAGCACACCCATCCTCCCCCACCCCCCTGCAAATATGTTGGCAGCCAATGCTGAAATCTCAGATACCAGAAGGCAAATCAAAAGACCTCCATATTTGTTCTGTTTTTGAACAGTTGGGCTGGAAATAATAGAGCTTTTTATGTCTGAAAAGCTGTTGGAAAAGTCTGCTGGAGAGAGAGGACTTGTCACAGTTCTGTAACTGTCAACCATCAATATATTCCATTATGGTTAATTAAATGTGCAAAGCCATGCCTTTGTTCAGATTAATTCTAGTGCTGATTTTGTTGTTAGACAATCCATGGTTCTGAAGTATGATATGAATATCAGTACCAGCTTCATGTACAGGGTCCTGTTACCTGATTTAGTGATTTACAGCATTATGGTCTATAATGCTAGAGCAATAATAATTCTCTCTCTTCCTCGTGTTCCACCCAAATTTACTCAGAAGGTGAGAGAGAAACAGAAGCAAAAAGAGGAGTGAAAACTCTGTAGACCTGTGATGCATTCACTGAAGAAAAGGCAAACACAAACATCCCAGAGTGAAAAGGAGGAATGGGGAACGAGGAAATTCCTCCCAGTGATGCTTGTTTAAAACTAGTGGTTTTAGCTGCATCACAGAATTCCATTACCGCAGAAGTTTCTGCCCACAATTAGAACTTCCTAATACTGCTGCAGATGGCACACAGTGCCAACTGCATTCCTGCAATATGAATATTGCTTACTGTGCTGGATATGCTGTTTTAAGGTCAGTCTACTATGAGGGAACATTGGCCCATAAGAGATGTTTTTGCTTCTGAAATAAGATAGCTTGGCTATTTGTGCCTGAGAGCATAAAGAATGATGATTAAACACTATTGCTAGACAAATGGAATGTCCCAGTGCTACCCAGACAGAATGAAGACAAGGGAAAGTACACATATGAATGTTGGCTTGCTGAAGAAAAGCTATGTACTACAGAAGAAGACACAAGGAAATATGAGAGAGAGAGAGAGAAGAAATGTTAAACGAGGGGTGGGCAGTAAATCTGAGATGCCTTCAGACAAGCTTGCTCTTCTCTGCAGGCAGAGCTGTATTGGGCATCTGTGTTAACTTACGAATGTATTCAGGCACAATGACATATTGCACACACTAGTGCAGTAACAGGCTTTAGCATAAGTGCAATGAGTAACCTTTATTACAATTCTTAGAAAGCTGTCATTTCATTCTTCCCAGACATAGGGATGAGTTGCTTAATACTCTAAAACTAATCATTTTCATTGGATTATAAATTAGATACACAGAAACCCAGTCTAGAAGGAAGTGAACACAATAGCATTACCTTGTATAGGATAAAATATAACAACTAATCTGAACAATCTACATTTGCTGCAGGGGTTATCTACTGCAGAATTTTGTAGTATATAGCTGCACAAATATATATATCCTCAAGAACTCAGTGGGACTGTGGAAGACAATACTGGAAGTCAACTCAAGATAGCTTGCACAAGTGGCCATCAAGTGCAGCATATACCAAGGTGATGCACTGTCCCTGCTGCTGTTCTGCATAGCTTGAACCCCCTCAGCCAGATAATTACAAGGACTGGATACGGATACAAGTTCAAGAGTGGAACCACCATCAGCCACTCCTCTACATGGATGACATCAAGTTGTATGCTACGAGTGAACAAGACTGACATGGAACTACAGTGAGGACATTAGGATGACATTTGGACTGGAGAAGTACGGCCGGATGGTAGTAAAGAAAGGGAAGGT